TTGTATTTTTCATGCTCTCGTCTAAAAAGTTACATATTTAATTTTCATAAATATATGTTCAGAATAAGATGGATACGGACTTTGGGTGTCTGTCTTTTTGTCGGCGGAAAAGATATTTTAAAAACACATTACTATTTTAGCGGGCTGTATCCGTTTCTAGCTTGAACACTAGTAGAGCAACTCCTATTACTAGTAGGTAGCCCTACGATTTACTCCTACCGTGAACTCGACTAAATTTACGTGGAGTCCGTTAGAAACATGCCATTAAATGTTAGTAATCGTCGGCAATTCATAAAATTACCGTGAACATATGCTTTATCAAACAGACTTTCATTTTTTTCGTACCGCCTGAGTGGCTTTTTTATCGTTTCCATGATTCGGATTGCGCATAATGACCTCTTCGTGTTTGCAACGGAGCCGCTTAGTCTGCGTTGCAAGAGCAATTTCGGCCGCTTCCAGGCGTTTTGCTGCATCACATAACTGCTGTTGGGCTACCTTTTCCACCTCCGAAACGGCCTGCTCTACGAAAAGCCGAACTTTTTCGGCTTCAGTCCGAGATTGTCGCACGAGTTTTTCTTTTAATTCCTAGGACGGAAACAAGGCATTCTGAGAGTCATATTTTTATCCAAATGCGTGAAAAATCTTGTAGCTTCATTATCTTTTTGCGATTCACGGAAAATCCGTCCGGGTAACATTTATGCAAACAAACCAACACAGTTAAAACAGATAAGTGAATAAGTTAAAAACCTCAGTTGTGGGACTACCAACGTATGTCCCAAAGTGTGCAGGTTCGAGCATCGGGGCTTCTTACCCCTAGGTTGGGTGTGGCTGGCTGATGACAGCTAATAGGCCAGAAGAGGTCATTCCAGTCTATCTTTTCTTTGTCGGCAATTTATTTCTGCCTATAATATGCTGGCAGTTAAGCGGCTGCTGGCGGGGCACGAAAGCGAGTCCCAAGACACAACGGGACGAGGGAAACCCGTGAAGTTTCATAGACATTTTGGCCATTTTCTAAATCACTGTTTTTGTTTACGAAATGTTTTACTGAATTTTACCTCTTCCACAAAAATTAAAATGTCAGGCCCCTCAAACTTCCGAAAATGGGAGCTAGACTTGATATTTATTTTTCCATTAAAAAAAATTTTAAATCAACTATGTTGCCGAAAGAATAATTGTAAATGGAACATGAAGCAACAACGTCTGGCATGACTAAATAACTTGCGATTTTCCGCTTGCATTAGTGGCACATATCCTAACTTAACTAAGCCAGTCAAAATTCGTGACAAGATGATACTAAACTGAAAAAAAGACTGAACAATGAGAAGTAAACATTTACCTGAATTTGTTTTTCCTTTTCACGTCCTCTTTTAATTTGAAGTTCGTAGTCTTCCTTCAGTAGAATATTTTCCATACTTAAGTATCGAATGCGCTCTACAAGTAAAATTCCATCCAACACTTCGTAAAATATCCAGAAAAGTATCTGATATCCAAACACTGAGGAATCTTTCCAACACGACAGACAAAATCGACGAAATAATCTGTAGACCAAGAATCGCCAAATTCCATGGCTTAAAATGTTTTTGCTTATATCACTCTACAAATTGACTTTTGCGGCACTATCCCGCAATGTCCTACCGAATGAAACCTAGAGTCAGCATTCAAGTAAGTTTTAAAAATGGAAATTACGGGGTGGACGATCTAGATAGAGTTGCAGCTGAAACAGAAGTGCCTAATCACTTCTGAAAAAACGTACACCTGGGCCCTGAGAGCGAGAAGCGATTACTCACACAAAATAAAGAAGGAAGTTTCTCACATTTGTGCATTATTTTTTGAAAAACATTCACCACATTTCCCAGGAAAAAGTTAATTACCATGGCCCTAGTAGGCTATATGCGAATATGCAAGGACCACACCTTTAGCATCATTCAATCCCTGATCCAAATCGGTGGTTCGTTTCCCTTCTTTTTGAATATTGCTTTGTATCAAACTGTTAAATTTGATATATTCTTCACGTTCGTCCACCAGTCTTCTGATTTTATTGTCCTTTGGAAAAAAAAGTTCAATTAGTAATGAAGTGAATGAAAATTCTAATTCAATTCTTATCCACATCCTCAAAAAGCCTACCAACCTTTTCTGAAACAGCGTCACTTAATTGACTGAGGCGCTGATTTAGCTTTTCATACTGTGGTAACTTGTCTAAGCCGTATTCCATAAAACTGAGTTCGAAGCGTCTGGCGATTTCTGAAAATTTAAAAAGTGCATCAATTATATGCTAAGAATTTGGGGCATTTTTTCAGTCACTTTTTAAAGCAAGGCCCAGACAGCGGACTTGGCTAACAGAGCATTCAAATAAACAGTAAGCAATGCACATGAATCAGAATAAGTTAAATGCGCAAAAATTCTCGAATTTCAATT